CTTTCTGGTTTGGCCATCACTTTGCTGTAGTATTCTATAACCTTTTCTTGACCATCCTGTACTTGTGATAGCACGGCTCCAATTCCGATGTTACTCGCGTCTGTGTCCAAAATAAACAAGCCTCTCTCTTGTGGGAACCCCAAAATAGGACTCGAACAGAGGCCAGCCTTCAATTTCTTGAAGGATTTCTCACATTCTACAGACCAGTTGAAGTTGACTCGATCTTCTGTCAATCTATGGAGTGGTGCCGCAATATCAGCAAATCCTTCCACAAAACGACGGTAGTAAGTGCACAATCCCAAGAAACTTCTAACTTCATGTTTGTCCTTCGGTCTTGGCCAGTCTCGAATGGCTTGAATCTTTGTCTCGTCAGTTTGTATTCCTTCTGACGTTACCGTGTGGCCCAAGAAATCTACTCGTTTCTGGAATAGTGAACATTTCTTCAGGTTCAGTTTGAGGTTGGCATTCCTGAATCGCTGGAAAACTTCCCGTAAGTTCTTCAGGTGTTCCTCGAAATTCTTTCCCATGACCAAAACATCGTCCAGATATACCAGGCAAGTTTTCCAAGTGAGCCCACGCAGTACCAATTCCATCAGCCTTTCGAAGGTTGCTGGGGCATTACATAGTCCAAAAGGCATCACAGTAAACTGGTACAGTTCATTACCAGTCGTAAAAGCAGTCTTCTCCTTATCTTCTTCGTGAATGCCCACTTGCCAGTATCCGCTCTTCAAGTCCAGTGTCGAAAACCATCGGGAGCCAGCCAATGTAGTCAAAGTGTCATCAATCCTTGGTAACGGGTAGCTATCCTTCTTGGTGACGTCATTGAGCTTCCTATAATCCACACAGAATCTTGTGGATCCATCCTTCTTGGACACTAATACAACCGGTGCAGACCAAGGGCTGGATGATTCTTCAATTACCCCATCCTTCATCATTTTGTCAACCAGCTGTTCCACCTCCTGTTGCTTAGCAAATGGCATTCTTCTTGGTGGTTGCCGAATTGGGTGAGCTTTACCAGTATCTATTCTGTGCTTGACCAAGTTCGTCCGCCCTGTTGATGTTGATTCAAAGATATCACTTTCGTCTGCTATGAATTTCTTGGCAGCTTTATATTCTGTTGGTGATAAGTGGTCCAAGGAGGTTTCCAGAACTTTCAATGCACTGTCATCTCGTTCCCTCCATATCTGCTGGTTAGTCTTATCACATTTTGCTACCCAACTGACTGGTTCACAAGCTCCGATAATATCTCCTTCCCTTACTGTTATGGTGGTAGGTAAAACATTTGCTACCCTCACAGAAATGTCTCGTTCGGTGGTCACTAAAGCTCGGGCAAGTAACAGCTTGCTGAGGGATTCCTCACCTGACTGTACTAATCCAACGCAGCACCCAGGGTCCTCTTCTAATCGCGCATGGATGATCTTCTCAGTGAATCCAGGAATTCTCACAGTCTTCGCTAGTCGTAGCCTCACAGACGTCTCCCTCTCGGCTGGTGTCGTTAGTACAAACTCTTCTCCTCCAAATTTCATGGTCTTCTGATCACTGTCGAATGAAAACCCGTAGTCACTTATCAGATCCATGCCGAGGATAAACTCATCTTCGATATCTGCGACGTATACCATGTTCATTATATGGAGTCTTCCAAGCGTCAACTCAATATCAGCCATCCCTCGTATTGGTGCATTTTCTCCAGTGACCGTACGAAGAACAAAGTTGGAAGTGGTTGGTTTCATACTTCCAGGCCGGAGAATGTCACTGCGTACCAGAGAAACTGATGCACCGGTATCTATGGTGCAGGTTACATCCATTTGGTTGATTTTTCCTTTGATGGTCAGGCTATCAGTTGTTCTTCTTATCCTGTTGATGTTAATGACCCTGGGGGCTTCGTTATTACTAGCCAGCATGCGCCCCGATACGCTGGCTAGTTCTAGTTTTCCTGGTATCTATCTGAGGACTCACTAGATGACCTAGTCCTCGCAGGTGAGTACGACCGTGATGGCGTCCTTGCAGGTGAAGAAGATCGTGGTGGTACTCTCACCTTACAGTCCCTTATCAGGTGTCCAGTTCTGCCACAGCGATAGCAGGATCTATTTCGCTGGTTACTAGACCCACTCTTAATTTCTTTGAGTTCCTCAAGCACTTTTCTCAACATTTTCGCCACTGGGTCCACGTCTTCGGAAGGCTCCTCGATGGACACAGCTCTCACTTTTGGCCTAGAGGTGTTGAAGGCCGCTTCTACCTCCAGAGATCTTACTAGGGCTTCACCACTCCTCTTAAAGTGTGTAAGCCTCAGAGTCTTCTGTATTTCTGAGTCTCTCAGCCCGTCGATGAATACCTGCACCGCCAGTTGTTCTTTGAAGTCCTCTGGTGCCTCTGGGTAGGCTAATTGAGTCAGTCTTCTCACATCTGCTTCGAACTCCTGTAGGCTCTCTCCAGACTTCTGCACACGATTTTTCATCTGAGCCCGGTAAAGCTGTTCTCGATGTTGGTCACCATACCTGAGTTCTAGCGCAGCCACTAAATCTCCGAAGTGGTTTTGTTGTTCCACTGGGATCGACTGTAACATCCCCAAAGCTGGTCCTCTCAGAGCTACAATGAGTGCAGTAGCTTTTTCCTCGTCACTCCACCCATTTGCACTTGCTGCAGCCTCAAATTGTCGGCGATACATAGACCAAGGCGACTGTCCATCAAAAGTTGGTGGTTTTACGGAAGAACCCGATGTGGCAACCCTGTCACGACGATCTTGACTTCGTAGCGAGGCGATCTGATTCGCTACATCTCTTTTGATTGTATCGAACATGGAATCTATTCTTGAAACTTCCTGGTTAAGCTTGTCGTCAATTTTGGTGAAATCTGTCTTCAACTCATCTATTTGCACATCAGTTTTATGCAGAATTTGTTCGAAGAAGATTTTCTGATGTTCTCGTTCTTTTTCTTGATGCTCTAGAATTTTCTGTAACTCTTCTTGACGACGTTGCTCTTCTTCTAATTTTTCTTCATGACGACGTTGCTCTTCTTCTAATTTTTCTTCATGACGACGTTTCTCTTCTTCTAATTTTTCCTCTTGACGACGTTTCTCCTCCTCTTGTTTTTCTTTCTGTCGTCGTTCCTCTTGTTCCGCGAACTGATTATGCATAAATTTCAAAATGTCTTCCATCGCGTCGTATGACGTACTCCTTGTATTCACCATACGTCTTCAAATGTCCTCGAAAAATCCACACTTCTGACACCACTGTTACGATTTTTACTCTGGGTCCGTAATAACTTAACACTCGGTATAACACTTAAAACGATTTATTCTGAACACTACTATACAATAATTACAATACTCGTACTAAACACTTCCGATTCACAACACTTCTTCGATCGTTATTATAACGCTTCCAAATAAAGACTTCCCTTCCTGTCCCTAACAACAACTATTTATACTACCTAATAAAACGTCTAGATTCCACTCGAAATATCGTGAACAGGTCGATAATCTTCTCGAGTCATCTCAATAGCCGTCGAATTACCTAATTACTATTCCAAGAAATATGGCTTGTTTACATTCCGCTCCCGCAGGTAGCTGGGATCGATTGCCAGGGTCGTAACATTATTATATAGGAGTATATTATGCACGTACAGGGTGGGCAAAATTGGGCGTTCTACGGGCTATCTCAATAACTTCAGGAGTTATCAAAAAACCGATAAACTTGTTACGGGTTCGATTTTATAGGGACCTAACATGGCACATTCGAAATTTTGATATCTCCATTCATTTCAGAGATACAGTAAGAAATTGGAAAATTGCTGATTTCGTTTTTATTTTCTGAGTACTTCATGGTGGGAAATATTGAAAATTTTCGGAAGTTCATTCATATAGTATGATGCGAACCCATTTGCATTATAAGAAATACAGGGTTACATCAAAAAGATACGGCAGCCAATTATATTTTTTCTTATGGAACACCTCGTATATTTTGGCACAGTTAGATAGTCCCAGACGTTTCAATTCCAAATATACATATAATTCTACCGCTTGTTTCCACAATTTCAGGAATATTCGCAGAAATATACAGTGTGTCACATTTTTCATGGTTGCACCTCCGTATCTTCCGCAATAATCATTGGGCTTGGATTCATAAATTCACTACTGTGAGAGAGATGCCAATAATGATCCACTCAAGGACCTAGGGAGGATAACTTCAGTGATAACACTACTTTCTAGCAGCTATGGAATCATCGACATTACTAGAAAATGCTATCAAGAGGAAGAATATTGGTTGAAAATAACACTGTATCAATATATACAGTGTTATTTCCAACCATAAGGTCCCATTTCAGGATCCTTCGAAATCGAACTCGTAACATGTATATCGGTTCTTTGATAACTCCTTTTGTTATTGAGATAGCCCGTGAAAACGCCCAATTTTGCCCACCCTGTATATTGAGTAAGTATTTATATTTCTCCATTGTGGCCATACTTTCACTGATCTATGCGAGAGACTATTCTAAATGCTTGTGATTTCAACCCAGTTTTTATTTACGGTTCCCCTAGCACATGTTGCTATTAAGCGACCTATACATACATTTCAGTTCAATGTGAATTATCAATACTTCCTTTTGTTCATCATTTATGGAAAATGAATTTCACTTTACATCATTCCCCATTTGACGCAACGTTCCAAAATCAGAGTAATTTCAGTTATAATAATTCGACCATGAATATGTCTGACTTTTGTAAGTCTGCCAAAAAAATAATGTCGAGAAATTGTCGTTTCTGATTGGTTATAACCTTTGGCAATATTGATCAGTTAGGTCACTGAAGAAGCTATTCATTTGCTTCCTCCCTAGTGCTCAAGAATACAGGATTCTCATTTTTGGATGGGGAAGTAGAAAAAAATTAGGGACCGTTCTTTGAGGAGCGTAATATTCTACCGCCGTCAAGAATCGCGGCGTTGCATCTTGCTTTTCGGTACACTGTACAAAATTACTATGATCTAAGATTACAGAAAACTTACTTGGCATATAGAACGATACACATCCACAGACATCCAAGGTATAATTAGTGAGACATTCTAGTTTGCAGTTGTACTGCGTGTAATTCTTGAAGTACATCAGTGTCTTCTCTCCTTGCAAGAAACATTTTCGTTTTCTCGGACTGTAATATTTGACGTCATCAGAGGTCACTATCTGTGCTGGACTTATGGCGACGATGACTGATTTGCTGAGGGGTACGCGGAAGTAGTGTTCAGTAACTGTCGGAAATCGAATAGCCTTATGGAGAACAACCTAAAACGTATGCAGATCCACAAATTAGTTTCTTATTCGTTTTAGTAATAGTCATAATTGTGAAAGTTGGTGACATGTCCTTTTTTATCTCCATGACAATTATGTAATTTCTGATTTAAGGCTGATGATGGACATATATGTACAGTGTGACCCTCTTCTAATCGAAACACCCCTGTATATTCCGCAATCGTTGGGTAAGGATCCTGAAATTTGCTAGAGCGAGAGATATACCAAAAATGCACTATGACCAAGTAGGGTCATCTTCAGTGATATACACTGCCCGCCAACAACCATGGAACCACCCCAATTTCCGGAGAACGATATTAGGAGTCAAAATAGGTTGAAAATCACTTCGGATTCAGAATCAAGACGCCCAATTCATTAACTATTCATAGATTCCCTAGAAAATTGTCAGTTCTGAAGAATTAAATTCTGTCGCAGAGATTTTGTTACAGAGGCAGCCCCGTATCTTACTAGAATATTGTAAATAATTCAATTGAAAAACATGAGTTGTAGTGTGCACATCTAGATAGATATGATATAATATAGGGGCTATTCTTTCGTTCTGAAGTAACTGAAATATTTCTCTTCAACTGATCTAAATCAGTTAACCTGCATTCTATCAGATCAAATTATTTCGAATGAACGCATGTTCTGATTCAGGTCAGTTATACTGAAATATCTCAGTTAGTTCAGATTGAAAGAATATCACTATAATATTATAACATATTATTATTCATTTTTAATATTTAAATAGTATATTTGTTTTAGTAATGATAGTTCGCAATCAAGTATTACTCAGAAATATTCGAAATTTTCATTCTTCAATACACATATTTTTTGGGAAAATAAATTTTCTCGGTACTCTGATCTTTTGAACCCACCACACGCCACTGGCTGATCGCGTACGGTAAGTAAAGATGAATTTTTGTTATCAGAGAGTTTCTCAATAATCCCTCCTCGTTTTATGGTACAAGAATTTTCGAAGGTATGTATCAATTAGTAAGTAGGTGCTGGATTGTTGAAAAAATTATTCATAGACTTATATGAGAGGTAGATATAGTATAATAACGCTGTTCATTAACCTCAACCTCACAAACATACATGAGGAAAACTTGAAAAGCTCCTTGGACTGCGGAAAGTTTGCAAGCTGCTATGAATGCTTCAAACGATGGTAACGCTTTGAGGGAGGCTGCAAGAAGCTTTGGTTTTCCAAGAGCAACTCTGCAAACAGGTTGATCAAGATGCAGATCACGAAGTTGGTCAAAAAGAAAGACATTTTGCCTTCGGCGAAATATCTGTCCCTGGATGTTCAAACTCGTTGATTCGAATTTGAATGAAAATAGGTAGCAGAAAGCAACACTCTAGCTACTTCTAATAGAGACCCCTAGAGGAGAAGGGAAATGGAAAGTAACTAACGAAGGCAAGAGGAGATGAATTCCAAGAACACAGAAAAGTATTTGGAAGAATCATTAGTGACCAAACTGTTGCAGAAACGAGTACCTACGCTAATTTCAAGAAAAGCTGACCTCCGCAAGAATACCAAGAAAGCGGAATACCATTGTGCTGATGAAGAAGAAGTGTACCTGAAGAAATTGGCATTATCTATGAGGGAAAAACATGACTCTCGTTGAGGTGTGTGATGTGCGCAAGGTGGGCTCACAAATCTTGTTCCGGTGGAGGAGGAAGCAAGCATTATATGCGATTTATGCAGACGAGATAATTCAATTTCTTCATTTGGAGTAATAGGCAGAGATTAAGGTGATGCCGTCCAAAACGATTCTTTGTTCTTTTGATTATTACTTTCATAATTTCATGTATTCATTCGAATTGGAAGTATATTTTCTTTCAATGATATCTGATCTTCAACTTGATATACATCTCAAGTTTATGGAAACAGATTATCATCGCTACAGAGAGAAATGTTTAAGGGGCCGGGATTCCTCCACTTTACTTTCGGATACTATATAAGTTGAGATCATATGAAAATGCACACAATATCATCGATGTACAACACAAAAAATAATGCCCCTGTATGATAAGCTGCCTTGGCGTACACCTACACCGAAATTATCTACCTCTCCTGCACATGAGAAGTCAATCAAATGAAATTTTCTGTTTCCCATTTGGGGAGCAACTATTGGACCACATGAGAACACTTTCAATCAACCGGATTATCCCAAATTTTCCCCATCAATCGTTTCGAAAGCTCTCTCAAAGTCAAGGAAAACTCTTGTAATAACCTTGAATTTACCTGGAATCCTTGAAAATTCGAACATGCATAATCGAGATCATCGAGGGCTACTTCCATATTGACGATGAGAGCGTTGGATGAACCAGATAAAAGAGCTCTTCTTGGGTAGGATTCGACACCAGCTTCTTCTCCATAACCGTGATCTGCTGACCATTCCTCGAAAGCGTAGTCGTTTGGCAATTTCCTGTTTATCGGCGGCGGAAATCTAAATACAAGATAGTGGTTCATTTTTGCAACTCCGTATATCGTGATTGCGCGCAGCAGACAATACCTCCTGGGGTACTGAAATGTATACCCTCATTGAGGATACTGTGATCGCGCGATGGAAAGATTGTGGTAGCTGTACTGTAATTCACGATTCCTTTTATTATTTGTGGTTAACCTTTTTCATTCTGTCCCCTCAAGTGATCTTCCGAAAAATATACTTCCTAGGAAGAAAGTCTTTCTTCTCATGCAGAATATTTATTTGTTTCACTAAGCAGGAAAGTAGTAGATTGACTGCCGCGGCTGATAGTTCATAGCCGAGCGTAGCGAGGCTAGGAATTCACGTTAAATGAAACCAGTTTTGTGTAATTTTGTGTTCACCCAATTTTGCATTACTAATTAGTAATGAAATTTCATTAGAATTTCTTGGAACGTTGCATAGCAACAAACTTTTTCTGCCTAGCCGTAAAAGTCCACCTTTTCTGCCTGTTAAGCGGTAAAAAAAGCCACTATTCCTGTCTTTTGGAGAAAAAGATTTTTTTCTGAAAAATAATTTTTCAATGAGAATGTTCATTCAAGCCAAGTTAGTTCAGATCGTTTATAGAAAAAAGTAATCTTTCTCCAAGCGGCAGGGATAGTGGCTTTTTTCTGCCGCTTGACAGGCACAAAAGGTGGAGTTTTCAATAAAAAAAATTACACGAAATTGGTTTTATTTCATTTGGAGAAAAAAATTCTAAGTTTCACACGGTAGCCAATCTACTACTTTTCTTCCTAATAAAACGAATAACTATTTTTCATGCAATGAAGATATTATTCTTTCGGAAGAATTTACTCTCTATTTCTATTTAAATTTTTATACAATACGGATCCGAAAAATATACTATCCTAGGAGAATGTCCATCTAGGCCGAGATAGGTCAGATTGTCGAAAGAATAGTCTACTTCCTCAAAGCAATGAAGATATCATTTTTTCGGAAGAATTTATTCCCAATTTCTATTTTATTCCTTATACAATACGGATCCGAAAAATATATTATCTAAGGAGAATGATCATTTAGGCCAAGTCAGGTCAGATTGTTGAGAAAATAGTCTACTTCCTCATGCAATAAGTATATTTTCCAAAGATTATGATTCCTAGAAAAAAAGTTTATTCGAACCGTGATTTGGGTTGGATTGTTCAAGAAAAGTAGTACCTATTCTTTCACGTACAGGAAGAATATTCACAGATAAAAATTGAAAACAACTTCCGTTTCCTATGATTTTCGCCTTTGCGCGCAATCACAACATACCTTTTTATCAGAGGACATAGAATTAGTGAGGGTGGCATCATCGTTAGGGGGGAAGAAGACTTTTTACGTCCTCACTGTATGTTCCGAAATCATTTGTTATTTTGAGAATGGCTCGAGATAGGTATGAAAAAAATGAAAAAAAATCTCGATGTGGAATCAACGTGAACACAGAAAATTGAAATAACCAAGTTTTGAAGGAATTATTCCAGACGCATAGATAGAAAGCTGGATAATTGATGCAAACCATATTTTCAAAGCTATCAGTCGTTCCGTTCTCCAGATACTTTTGATACGCCATCCAAATTGAAAAATAATATTGCATTCAACCGATCTGCAAGAATGTAAGGCCACAATGGACATTGTAATGTAATAATTAAGCCACATGTAAGTTATGGTAATTTACCAACCTACTTTTGGTGAATGTGGCTTTATCAGTCCACAATATTTTTTTGTTCTATTCGTAATTGTCAACCGCTTCTAAAAGCTGGTGGTAAAATGCCAATCTCCTTACAGTATGTGATTATTTCTTTTGCGATTCCATTATTGTTAATTTTATCAAAGTAGGCTTTTGATAAAGCAAAAAAGCTTTCGACATTTTACAGTGACATAAGTAAACCAAATCAGAAGAATTCTGTGTTTTGATTTTGAAATATTGCGAACTTAGTGGCTCTTTAGTAATTCACGTAACCGTGAAGTGGAATGGAAGATAAAAGGACTTTCAATTCTTTCTCGCAGACGGTGTTATTTTTCAGATGTGGCACAACAAAAGCCATCGAAAGTGCACCTATATGTGTAAAAAAAGTTATTTATGACAATTGACATTTTGTAACCGGTCAACAGAGATAAAAGGTCAAATTTTCTTCACGTCTTTAGGTAAAAGGTTGCATTATTTTTTATCTCCTGGGGCGCATGATAGGGAATCCCATCGTGGGTACTTAGGGAGGATAGGAAGAGAACTTTTGGAGAAAATAAGTTCTTGTTTTTTTTTCTATGTTCTGCTTCCCACGAAAAGGGATATCCTGTAATCTTCAGAGAACATCGTGAGAACCAAGGGAAATAAAGTAAGAATTGGTGTTCTTCTTGAATTTCTGGAGGTTATATGCCTCGGGGAACACCTCCCTTGCCAATGTGTTCCAGAGCCTCGCTGTTCGTTGAATGAACAAGTCTTTGGAAAGAGATGTTCTGCAGGTCTCCAAAGTGACCACGAAGGGGTGCGAAGCCTCAACTGTACGGGTTAATCTTGCGGGGACTACCAAGGGAGGATCAATTGTTGATATTTCAGAAGAGCATCGTCCGTGAAAATATCTATAAAATAGAGCCAGATCGCCAACTTTTCTACGGTGTTCCAAACCACGTGGGATGCACTTTTAGCGATTGATCTCACGTGATTTTCCCAAGAAATGTTATTGCTTATAGTAATACCAAGCATCGAAATGGATGTCTTCAAAGGTATGGTTACTCCTATAGCGAAGAATTCCAAATATCTGTCGTTCTTTTGACAAACGATTTCTGGAAAAGAGTTGTTCGACATATCTCAAGGTTGACGACGAAAGGATGTGCTGAATGGGTTGTCGAGTTCGTCTGACTGGTATTGCTAGTGATAGAATGATAGCAGAGATTTCTGAAGAACATATCCCGTGGAAGTATCTATAGGTAAGTGAAAGGTCGCCGACTATTCCACGATGTTCCAATGATGTCAAAGAATGTAGATTGTAGATGTAGATTATGAGAAGCTGTTGAGGTGTGAAGTAGACTCTCGCACGAAATAAAAATCCGAGTTTTGTTAAGCAGCTTTGACGAAGGATCTGACATGATTTTCTCATTGAAAAGTGTTGCTGGTGCAAGTACCGAGCATTGATACAGTGGACTTTGTGAAAATCAGGCATGCTCTGTTTCGCCTTTCCCGAGAAAATACCGGCTTGAGTTTTGGTGGCAGTGAATTCAAGGGTGTTGATTCCCCAAGCTGAAATTTCAGCAATCTCTTAATTGACATCGTTGACATGCCTTCTTGGTGAGTTATTCCCAGCTTCCTGAGGAGAAATGGGAATTCTGGAAGAGAACGCAATATGGAGAGTACCATCATCTGTATACATCTCATGATCCATAAATTCTTAATTCAATCAGTTGTGCACAACACAAAAAACTCACACGTTGTTTCGATAAATTTGTTCATCGTTGAGCATATTGAAAGTCATGCATAAGCCCTCATCCGTTATAATCGGTCTGAAGATCTTATCGCAATTGTATTTTTTCCCCATCCAGCTACACTGTCTGAAGAATCCGGCGCTTCCCTGAAAGACATGAAAATCTAATTCACTATCGGAACTATAGATTCTCATTATAATCTATTACATTTTCCAGGAAAGAGTAAAAATCTTCTCCCACTGTACCTATATTTGGTATTTGTTTCTTGAATTCTCTGCCATCTCCACACAACATTGACATATATTGCAAATTTTTCAACCTGGAAATGATAACTCAATTATACTACAGTCGAATTCACGTCCTGTTTTTTGTGTCTTAATTTCTACCTTTCACCCTTTCACTACTGGAATATGAGTTGGCCGAAAAAAATCGTGGATCAGAGGATAAGAGCTGAGTGGATGGAGTTCTAAGTTTTGAGTGAGGGGTACTTAGCTGTGTGCACGTGTATACAGTCTGTCCAAGATAAGGTTGAACAGCATGGGGATCTCGAAAACAGTAGGAGATACGAAGTCGGTTGAATGGGGAAAAAGTTGCGCATTCGGAGGCTCATATCAAGAGCCTTCGAAAATTTTCAAAATTATTCTTAGTTTTTTAGTTATCGAAAAAAGTGAATTTTTGGAATATCTATTTTTTTTTCTCCGTTATCATTAGAGATACAGAAAAACTGTGAATACTTTTTTTATAGTCACTTTTGATGACGTTTAACGTGGTGATACCAATTTTTCTATGCAACGTTTCGTATTCGTAGAACCATCATCAACTTTTGTTCTTTAAATACGATCCTGATAATTTTTTCACAGATTCTGGAAGGTTTTTTTATTCTGAATTCAACCATGTATCATACAAGGTGGTTTATGTGTGTTTCGACCTATTTTTGACCATCATCAATGTTTTTTCGAAATCATAAAGGAAAAATGCCATCAGTTCCACTTATTCTGAAGGAAAATTAGTCAACACACTAATACCTCATCAACTCGTTTCAATCAACAACACATTCCATTTTGCGAAAACAAAAATTCCATCCATACAAATTCAAAATATGTCAAGCGCTAAAACCAGGCGATAACGAAAGGCGAAGGACATTCTCTGTGAGTGGTATACCAGGAAATGTCAAAATTTTGCAGATTTCACGCGAACAATCATCTGGACTGATGAAAGCATGGTCACTAATCATGGCATCTTCGGTAGAAAAAATACACATTATTGTTCACGAGACACGAGAAAATGAACATTTATACATTACAGCGAGACACCAACACCGCTTCGGCTTTAATATGTGGGTTGCAATATTTGGTACACGAATTATTGGTCCTTTTATTCACCATGAAACACAGACTTCCTAACGTTATAGAAATTTGCTTGAGAATCACCTTAAGGAAGCTCTGGACGATTTTCCGATTGCGGAAGTTCAGAACTGTTGGTTTCAACAAGATGGCGCTCCGGTACATAATTCCAGAGGAGTTCGTGCGTTTTTATCCAGAAAAGTGGATTGGTACTCATTCTGCAGTCCCTTGGCCAGCGCGGTCACCTGATTTGATACAGTTGGATTTTTTTTTAGGGGATATAACAAAAACTTTGTACTCGCAAATAGCTTTGATGATGAAGACGAACAGTGTCATCGAAGCATTCAATGGGATAACCGAAGAAATGCTTAGTAATGTCTCAGAAGCAACTGTGAGAAGAGGATATATTTATTCAGAAAATGATGATTATCATTTTTGAACATTTGTTATGACTGTTTCTGAAGGTATTGTCAAAGTTAAGTTGCTAAAGTAATTCGTGTAAGAGTTCATCAACAATTTTAAGCGCAGCATTGAATGATGTAGTGAAATATTTTTCATTCACTCTTCAGTATTTAATAGAGTCCGACCACGTTAACTTTGGGACAGCATGTGACGCAACACATATGCATATTCAATACATACGCGACCACGTGCTGTCCCAAAGTTATCGTGGTCGGACTCTAACTAATCCATCAATGTTTGACACTGAATGATCAAAAATAAATTGAACTGATGGCACTTTTCTTCTGGAAGTTCGAAAAAACAATGATAATGGATAGAAATAGGTCGAAACACATTCGAACCACCTTGTATAATACATGGTTGAACTTAGAATAAAAAAACCTCTCAGGATCTGTGAAAAAATTATCAGGACCGTATTTAAAAAACAAATGTTGATGATGGTTCTACGTATACGAAACGTCGCATAAAAAAATCGGTATAACCACGTTGAACGTCATCAAAAGTTGCTATGAAAAAGTATTTTCAGTTTTTCTGTATCTCTAATAATAACGGAGAAAAAAAAAGAAAAAGATATTCCAAAAATTCACTTTTTTCGATATAACTGAAAAACTAAAAATAATTTCGAAAATGTTTGAAGGCTCTTGATATAAGCCTCCGAATGCGCAACTTTTTCCCCATTTAACCGACTTCGTATCTCATACCGTTTTCGAGATCCCCATGCTGTTCAACCTTATCTTGGACAGACTGTATATACCAATGAAGGGAATTGTTGTATTTCGTGCAAGATATTTTATTCAAATTTATCACTCGTAGCAGAGCGCTTTTGACTGTTTAGTCATCATGAGTGCATACCTGTCAGTAATATTGTTCGAACGTTTGAATATCTCGAAAACTGTTCATCAGAATTTTCGCAGCGTGATAACAAACATAGCTCCTAGCAACAACGGCTATGTTTTCAGAAATTCACATATATTCTAAGTGAATAACTTCATACAGCTCTCCATATTCGGTTGAAAATTAATAATTTGGTTTATAGATGTATAAAAAATTGATATTCATCATACAGGGCGTGGAAAGAAATTCTGAATTGAGAAAACCCAATCACTAATCTGCGATTGAAGGTCTATGAAAATTACAATTTTCCAGATATTTGACCGTTCTAGGAGTTCCTAATCCTCTAGGGCTAAGGAGTGCACTTATTGGGCTAATAGAGCACTCAGAGTATGTATCCGTGTCACTCTTTTTCACATTTTTCAAGCGTTTTCACTCTCTTTCGATAATATTCTATACTGAGTTGTGAATTTTGAGCGATTTTTCATGTTGAATAGCTTTTGATCTAGATGGACACATGAGATTCTAGAATGCTCTTCAAAATAAGGATATCCGAGTTGTCTATGCGCTTTGCTAGATAGCCTTTCACGATGCAAAGCTGCTTTCGGTTCGAATCTGGCTTGACTGAGCATTTTTCTCAAAAATGGTTGTGATCCTGGCAGCTCCTTGGCGCCCTACGAGTGGTTCGAATTCTACTATAAGTTGTACGTCTTGCTCTTCCTAACCTCCAACTGAGTTTCGACTTCTGGGGAGTTGATTCCCCACTTCGAAGTAGCGATATAAAAATGTTACAAACAATTCTACATTTTCTAGATCACAGGTTGCCTTTAATTTTTTTTATTTCAAGTACGGCCATGAATTTTTCAGAAAATATACCTCAGTAGGTACCATTTCAACCTGTTTTTGTTGCATCTTCATCTCATTCTACTCTGGTTCAGTATGATGATAGTAGGGGTGGGCGATAATGATTTTGAAATATCGATTATCGATATTGATAATGTATCGATATTATCGATATTATCGATATTATCGATATTATCGATATTATCGATATTATCGATATTATCGATATTATCGATATTATCCATATTATCGATATTATCTATTTAATGAGGGTTGCCACGTTGCCAGAGATGTCAGACAGCTTCAGGCAAGTTGCTGTGCTGGAGTCCTATGTTGCTTGAACAAGGCTAATGTACAGGGTGGCGTGTCTTATTATATTTTCATTCTTACCTCAATTCTTACCAACAGTTATCTGTTTAATACAGAGTGTTCCATATAAAAAACAAAAATACCTATTTTTCTGATGCTCATTCATTTTGATAATTTTAATATTATCGGTTATATCGATAATTTCGATATCATCGATAATATTGATAATTTTGATAATATCGATAATATCGATAATATCGATAATTTCGATTATTTTAATTATATCGATAATTCCGATAATATCGATGATATCGATAATTCCGATAATATCGATAATTCCGATAATATCGATAATATCGATAATAACGATAATAACGATAATATCGATAATATCGATAATATCGATGATATCGATAATATCGATAATATCGATAATATCGATAAATCGATAATTTTTCTCCAAATTATTATCGATAATTATCGATATATCGATAATTTTTCCCACCCCTAGATGACAGGTCAAGAATCTCGCCATCATAAATTATTCAGGAATCTAGAGACAAGATGCAACAACTAATCCGTGTGGTGATGAGTATCAGAATGCTTCATTCATCTGTTCTGTAGATGATTTCGCAAGAAACATAATGGTTCAATTTGCTTCTAGCCGGCAACTTTTTATAATATTATATCGACCATGGATCATATTATGTCGACGCACGGAATTATATTTAGCCGAAAACGGACGAGGCAATTCTTTCTTTCTTCCTTCCTCTCCGAATGCTCCTCAAGCGGCTCAAGTTCGATTCATGTAGAGGTCGGCTTTTTTCGAATTTTGTTTTCTCATGATTTCCCGAGAAATAAATTTTTTAGGGAGGATTTTTATTTTAGGCCGAGTGAGGTTAGATTGTTTAGAAATAGTAGTATTCTTTCTTGTGCAGAAAGAATATTTTCCTTTCTTTTATTATCTGTACAGGGTGGGCCACCAGCCTCGGTCTCTAGAAGGCTAAATCACTTATCTTCTTGGAATTCTTCCTCTCTAGGAAGCCAACATAGGCTACCATTTAAAATTATTTCGAAAAATACAGGGTGTCCCCAAAAACCATAAAACACTGAAGTTAAACTTTTTTCTATAGAACACCCTATATATTATTTCATTTTGAGATTCTCCCTGATGAGCTGATTTCAACGACCCATCATACTTGGGGTCTAGCAGTTATAATTACTGAAATATAGGGTGTGAAAAATCGAGATTTTCCAAGTTCAAGAATTTTTTGTGTCGAAACTATTCATAATTGGTCAAAACGGCTTACATGTCCCTATCTCAACTTTTGATAAACTATCTACTGATATTTAATTGGGACATATACCAGGTGATCAAGATTCTGAATTCTGCACCACCCTGTATTTGTTTCAATTCAATGTCAGTAGATAGTTGATCAAAAGTTGAAATAGGGACATGTGAACTGTTTTGACCAATTATGAATGGTTTGGACACAAAAAATTCTT